ACCGTCTTTTGTCATTCCATGTGTTATTTCAATAAGGAAAATTGTATTGCGTTTGTTTTTAAACAAACGAGACTGAATATAAGGTATTGTTTTGCAAAAATGTTTGGGTTTTGATGCAATGGGTGCATACAACACAATAAAGCGGTAGGGTTTGCTAAGTAGCCGCGCGGATTTTATCAGCTGGGTGCCACGGTACCTTGTCATTTTACTGAGCGCATAAAAGACAGCTACCAAAGTGAGCGCTTTTTGACAAGCATCAGAGAGAATATATTTAATTGAAATCAATTTATTCGTCATGGTACACTTTTTTTGGGGGGGGGGAATCCTCTCACAAAAAAGAAAGGTTTTGTTCTTAAGTCTTTTTTTTTATCCTTCTCAGATTGGCCCTTTAGCACATACAAAGACTGATGAATCGATGTTGATACCGATATGAAATTTTAGGAATTTCAAAAACAAATCATTTTCCTGTAATGTACTCTTGAAAAGAAGAATTTTTGATATGTGATTATTTTTCTACAATTAATCGTTCGGGAGATTCAGACCGTGACAGACGGAGATTTGGCTGTTATATAGACAGATAGATGTTTGTTTACCTGGCATAATACTTAATCCAAAAACCTGACCAGAATAGTTGGGTAAAATCACTTACTTTTTTACATGAACCCAGAAATACCCAGGACTAACTAATAGGATTAATTACAATATTGGTTTCATTGTTTAAGTTTTTGTGACTTTAATCTTGTTAGGAGATCTGGCCAATAAAGTCATGGGCTCGTAAGCAGTTTGATGCAAAGTAGTGTAGAAAAATGTCTTATAAGCCGACGAACTCCTTTGATTGTTCTTGGGTTAATGAACTTCATCGACTTGAGCTTGCTTGTGAATGTCGTTTCGATTTTGGCATCTTCGCTAGCAAAGTAAACGCTCAAACAAACCGCTAAACTGATTAATAAAGTCCGTTAAAAACCTTTCAGTTGAGACTGAATTAGTCAATGCCCTACTTGTTCAGTATAGTGACCATTACAAAATAAAAATGGTAATTTGAGAAATCGCCAAACTTAAACCTTCCTTTCATTTAGATAAATGGTATAAAGTTAAAATAAATCTTAAAATTAACTTTCCGCCACGAGGTACGTTACCTTTGAAACAGTAAAATATGCCCGGTTTTGATACCCGTGGTGGGCACAGCAAAAATAGCCCATTGTGTAGCTTTGTGCTTAACTACAAAGAAAAATTTATTTTATTTTTCAATTTCGCGCAAAGCTACACGAGGGCTATCTGCGCTAGCCGTCCCTAATTTAGCAGTTGGGCTACTCTTTTACCAACGAATAGTGGGATTGACCGCACATTATAACGCCCCCACGGCT